CAGCCCGTGACTTTTCGTTGATGAATTACATAATATGTTATTTTAGGTTCTGGACGGAGCGATGAATGTATTGAATTTTTCAATGATGTTTTTTTTTTTTTTACACTATTTACTATACTAATGATGGGTACAGCTATTTTAATTTAAGACAAATAAATTGATTCAATTTTCTTAAACTCAAATATTTTTATAAATAAAATTAAACCGTGGTTTGATAATAATCTACTAGAATTAATTTCCACATTAAGTCTGAAAAAATTGATCCGATGTATAATATACTCGTTATAGTCCATCCAACAATATTATATACCACCAATAAAAACTGTATAGTTTTACGATCTGTAAATAAGCTTAAATACCTCGGTATACGTATAGCAATGGATAATAGATTTAAAATAATTTTTATATTTTTAATGATAGGTAATAAAATATATTTAATATGGAGATAAAAATACTTATTAAAACATGTCACTATCGTCCAATCAATTATGAATTATAGGTTAGTTGTATGGGTCAAATCTAAGGCAATGGCAGCTTTTGTAATAAAACTCCATTAAAATCAAATAATCAAAAAATGTTGTAATTATGAATATTTTAATTCTTAATTACAACAAACAGTTCAGACCAAAAAATCTATTCCTGTATTCCTGTACGATTCTTTAAACCATTGTTTTATTTTTATGATTGAAAACATTTAAAACACATAGTTATTTTTTAAATAGTGTCTTTAGTGTTATGTAAATTCTATGTAAAACCCTCCACCATAAGCATTTAGCTTATCGACATTAAGTAAGGCTCTACTCAGGGTGATTTAAAATTTATGTTACAGCCATTTTATCATATAAATATTCAAAATAATGAAAAATATATCATAGAAAAGTGTTTTGATTTAGAAACATCTATTATGATTTCATAATTTTATAATTGTTTACAATACTTTGAGGGGGGGGGGGTCAATTATAGAAATTCATATTGGAATATATACTATACTATATATATATATGGGAATATATACCTATACTTTTTTTACAAATATAATGTGAAGACATTTTTAAATACATTTTAATGCATAGACAACATTAGTTAATGCAAAACTCTAATGTTCGAGAGTTATTCAAAAAAAATATAGGTCTAAAGTCGACCCTCCAAAACCCCCTTAAAATATTGTAAGCAATTATAAAATTATGAAATCATAATAGATGTTTCTACTTAAAAAAACTTTTTTACTACAAATGTTTTACTATTTTGAATATTTATATAATTAAATGGGTGTAACATACATTTTGAATCACCCTATATAAACCGTGTGTCCAAAAAGCAGGGGCCACTTTACCACTCATTACCATGTATATATTTTTCAATTTTGTTTTCGGGACATTAAACTAGACTAATGGATCGTAAATTTCTATGACTTACAATGTTTTTAACTCATGTATCTTGCGCATGCGCAATAAAACTTACATTTTTTTAAATGGCAACCCGTAATTTGAACATCATATTCGGTGTTCGTCGATTTTTTTCAAGCCATTTTGATGTATCAACTTGTTCCTAAACACAAAATTGACTAAACTAGAGCCAAGCAGAATTTTAAAAATTTAAAAATTCAATTAAGTTAATTTTTTTTTCTAACTGTAAGTACTTATTTTTGTCTTCTAAACACCATGAAACAAACAATCAAAATTATTATTACGAGTATTAAACCAATTAACTACTTACTATTTATGAATTATTATCTTATTTTATTATTACACATTATGAAATTGTATATGGTCTTAATTGACTGAAACCAATAGAGAAGAGGAAGAAGTGTATTTTAGTTTCTATCAGAATTATCTATAATTAAGTATCTATTAAAATAATAATGAGCATTGGGGTTGTATCTATTAAAATGTCATTAGTTATTTTTATATTAGGTATTATGGAACGCATTGTTCTATTAAATGAACCAGCTTCAATCAATGACTTTTCAAGTTTTTGAACATAAGTACGATTGGGGTGATACCGATCTGGATATTGCTGAGCGTACCTATACATTCTTGTTGCTTCTCGTGCGTTTCTGTTACATTTTCCGTAGATCAATGGTAACTGAACTCTTTCACTATTATTCATGATAAATATTTTATCCTAAAAAAATTCAAATTATAACTTTATAATACCTAAATGTACTGACAATAGCGAACAAAAAACGTCGAACTACTAAGACCGCAATGACACATAACTCTGATAATGAGTTCCATAATACCTAATATAAAAATAACTAATGACATTTTAATAGATACAACCCCAATGCTCATTATTATTTTAATAGATACTTAATTATAGATAATTCTGATGGAAACTAAAATACACTTCTTCCTCTTCTCTTTTGGTTTCAGTCAATTAAGACCATATACAATTTCATAATGTGTAATAATAAAATAAGATAATAATTCATAAATAGTAAGTAGGTAATTGGTTTAATAATAATAATTTTGATTGTTTGTTTCATGGTGTTTAGAAGACAAAAATAAGTACTTACAGTTAGAAAAAAAAATTAACTTAATTGAATTTTTAAATTTTTAAAATTCTGCTTGGCTCTAGTTTAGTCAATTTTGTGTTTAGGAACAAGTTGATACATCAAAATGGCTTGAAAAAAATCGACGAACACCGAATATGATGTTCAAATTACGGGTTGCCATTTAAAAAAATGTAAGTTTTATTGCGCATGCGCAAGATACATGAGTTAAAAACATTGTAAGTCATAGAAATTTACGATCCATTAGTCTAGTTTAATGTCCCGCAAACAGAATTGAAAAATATTTGCATGGTAATGAGTGGTAAATAGGCCCCTGCTTTTTGGGACACACTGTATAATGGGTATGCTATGCCGCCATTTGAGACTCATTTATTAATATCAACAATGATAAAATAAACGCGGGCAACTTCATATTCACAGTGATAAATGAGTCGCAAAATGGCGGCGTAGCATACCTATTATCTATATTCTGTAGTGCCCTACCAGAAGGTTACAATTAATATTAGAAGCTCTAACTTTTATTTTTATTTTATTAATTTAATGCAAGTTATATTATATATGTACAACATAGACATTTTTTGCAAATAAATATGTGATAATTATTATTATTAACTACTTATATAACGAATTAAATATATCATAAAACATATATTATGTTAGTGCTTCTTCGTTCAGAAATTAGAATGCGATGCTAAATGATTTATCATTGAATTCAAATTAGGACTTTTGTTTCAGTAACTTACTCAATGATGTGACTTTAAGATTTTTTTTTTATTTCACAATGACTTCAAATTAACGTTCCTTAAAAGCTTAATAAAATTTTTTAAACCATTAAGGAAAAAATATTTTTAATTATTAACATCATTAATACTATTCAACTTGTGATTTAAAAAACTCTAAACTTTTAGGAAAAGTGTTACAAACAGTATGGTGTAGTGTCCAAAAAAAAAAAAAACTATTAAGGGTGTATAATAAATAATAATTATAATTAAAACTAAATAACACATATTATTATCAAAATACTTAGAAGGAAGTCGTATCCGCATTACGTGTAGTCTCTGTCTTACACAGTTATGAGTATGTACAGTATTAATATTTTAAAACGCTCAAAATTCACTTAATAACTAAAATATCGTAACCTAACCTAACACAAATAATGTTCCTACCTAAAAGTTTGATAATAAATTAATAAGTCAATTCACTCTGATATCAAAGCGAACAGCACACTATTGATTATTGAAACTATTTAGTGAACGTAAATTTACTATGTCGTAAGTGTGTAAGACCGCAGAGACAACACATGCGGGTGTGACGTCCTATCAACAGTTATTTCGTTAGGAAGTAATTCCAATAATAATTAGTTAAAAAATAGTTTTTAATAAGTAACATTATTACGTAATTTCATCGAAACCTAGACGCCTCGAGTGGATTAGGAACTTAATAAGTTAAAGACCATTGGGGCAGAAACCAACCTTATAACTTTTTGGAGAACTTAGCTTCCTCAATTTTTACCTATATGTAATACAATGCATACTAATGACAACAAACTATTTACCGAATTACAAGTCTTTAACTAAATATACTGTTATATACTAAAACTACAATTTGAAAATTCTATCTTATCTCATCTCTGTTATGTAACTATTTATAACATATACATTTAACTATGCAATCTGTATATACATATATCCAAGCCCCAAGAAGATTTTTTTAAACATATTCACTTTACTTTTATGCTTAAATTGTGCATGTATTTAAATTCTGATTTTCAGTATTTGTATATACACTTAAATACTATATTTTTGAATAGTTTACAATACATAGTTTTGTTTTTTTTAACAAAAACCCCGCTTTTTCAATTTTAATTATCAAGCAAATATTTTTTTGAAAATATTGATGTATCTAAATCAGAATTCGAAAAAGCAGTTTTTTAATTCAATAACATTTTGTATATACTAAGGATGATATTATGTTCATGATAATAGGTTAAGTAGATGAAATGGCTTTCATGTTTTGAAAATGCAAGTATTTACTATTGATCTATCAATATAAATGATTTGTAAAAACGGTTCAAAAATAATAAATACTAAATTTAATATTACATATTATAGATTATATTTTACTAAACCAATTTTTAAGGATGGTTCTCTTCAAAATAAATATAACCACTCATTAGAATTTTGATTTAGATACAAAAATATTTTCAAAAATATTAAAATCATTAGCTAAATAATTTTCGGTAAAAAAGGAAAGTTCTCATTTGAAAAATAGAAGTTTGTATCACCACAGGACATTTCTTTAGTAGTTCAAAAAGTATCAGGAATTTGAAAACATGATCTTTAGTTATACTTAAAAATTTTAATTTAAATAAATGTATTATTAAAGAGGAAAATGAGGATGAGCACTGAGAATGCATCACTCTGTATATATACATTTTTTTTAAGTATTAATACTGATGCTTATTATGGTATAGGGAATCCGGAATTGACGAAATGGTGATTAAAATTATCATCATCGGGGCTGGAGTTGGTGGTACAGCAGCAGCTGCTAGACTTAGCAAAAAAGGATTTCAAGTAGAAATTTATGAAAAAAATTCATATAATGGTGGAAGATGTTCACTCATTTATCAAAATGGACATCGATTTGATCAAGGTCCATCATTTTATCTTATGCCCAAAATATTTGATGAGACTTTCGAAGATTTGGGGGAGGACATTAAAAATCACATAGAGTTATTGAAGTGTCCTACTAATTACAATGTACATTTTCACGATGGAGAAACTTTCGAACTCACTACAGATATATCAAAATTATCTCGTTCTTTGGAAAAATATGAAGGCGGCGGTGAAGCAACATTAACCAATTTTTTGACCTATTTAAAGCAAACTCATGTATACTATCAAAAGAGCGTTAAAAAGGCACTTCAAACTGATTTCCAACATTGGTATGATTTTTTCAATCCAAAACATATACCCGACGTAATTCAACTGCATCTTTTTGATACTGTTTACAACAAAGTGTGTGAGTATTTCAAGAGCGACTACATGAGAAAGGCGTTTTCATTCCAGACTATGTACTTGGGGTAAATAGAAAAATGCTAATTAATAATATATTTTAAATAAAACTAAAATTGTTTTAATGTTTTTAGAATGTCACCATATGATGGCTTAGCTCTATATAGTTTACTGCAATACAGTGAATTAACAGAAGGGATATGGTATCCGAAAGGAGGCTACAATAAAGTTTTACAATGTCTTGAAAAAATTGCTGTTCAATATGGAGCAAAATTTAACTATAATGCTGATGTAGAAAAAATAATAGTTGATGACAAAGGAGTGGCGAAAGGAATTAAATTGGTAAACGGTGATATAGTTAATAGTGATATTGTAATTTGTAATGCAGATCTGACGTATGCGTACAACAAACTTTTGCCAAAAACATCATACGCAGAAAAACTCGGCAAAAAAGAACATACTTCTTCTTCAATATCATTTTATTGGTCCATGAATACAATTGTGCCGGAATTGAATATACACAACATTTTTTTGGCTGAAAAATATAAAGAAAGTTTTGACCAAATATTCAAGGATCATATGTTGCCCGACGATCCATCGTTTTATGTTAACGTACCTAGCCGCATCGATCCGACTGCAGCGCCAGAAGGAAAAGACTCAATCGTTGTTTTAGTACCAGTGGGACACATATCGAATGTACCTAATATTGATTTTGATCAACTTGTGGAGAGAGCTAGGGAAAAAGTAATCGACACATTAGAGAAAAGATTGAAGATATCCAACTTCAGAAGTTTGATAGATCACGAGATAGTGAACGATCCTAGAACATGGGAAAACGAATTCAATTTATGGAAAGGGTCTATATTAGGATTAGCTCATACATTTTTGCAAGTTGTATGGTTCAGACCTAGTTTGAAATGTAACATATTTAAAAACTTGTACTTTGTTGGTGCTTCGGCACACCCTGGTACTGGTGTACCAGTAGTTTTATGTGGTGCAAAATTACTAGAGAATCAGTTGTGTGATAGGTTCTTGGAGAGTAAAGTTGAAGTAAGCTTGTTTTCGAAGTTCATTACGTTTTTAATCGGCCTCTTGGCACTTCTGGTTGCTTGGGTTTCTTCCATATTTCATAAATAAAAAAAGTATGTATCACATGTATGTATTGCTTGTACACATTTAAAGTAACTTTCATTTTCTTATTTTAAAAATCTTTGAAGTTATAATTAAGGTAAATGTTTAGATTTAGAATAAATAATAATTTTTTTTATTTATTAACACTTGACAGTCACTTTTAATATAATATGGTGAGTATTGAGTTAAAAAACTAATTTCTTTTGAAATAGTTTAGTTTGAAACACGAACATACCAAGTTTAACATTTTTTTAAAATTCAAATAGAAAAAGAAAGTTTTTTAACTGAACTAAAGATTAATAGTATGTAATATGTATTCAAATAGTTCGCTGGCATAGCATGCTATGAATAGGGGGGTTGTGCTGTTAGTCTTTTTAAATTTTTGAAAATATTTTAATTCCTTTATTATACTTCTTATGGAATTTTCTAAAAAAAAATTAATTACCCCGAAAAAAAAATGTTTTGATTTGGCTGATTGGTAGATAAGCAAGCAAATGAGAATTCCGGTATTTATTACTATTAAATATGATACAAAGGAAAAAAAACACCAGCAATTAACTAAAATGTCTAGATATTTGTCAGTGGTACGTGTCATCATAAAACATAATTAAAGAGAGATATTCAAAAAAGCAAAAAAGCAAAAAAAGATGGAAATAAGCATTAAAAAAAAAAAACTTTGAAAAAATGAAACAAAAAAGCACTTTCAATTTCATAATTGAACGTGTTGTAAAATGAGATACATTACTTAGCACTCTGATAGATATTATACCTACGTCAAACCATAAAAATAAGCATATTATGCTGTAATAGTCTTAAGCGCTGATTATAGCATAACGACACATATCATTTATACATTTATTTTGAACTAAAAATTTATAGATTATTTATAGATTATGTATGTATTATTGTATTCCAACTATTCTCATATTGCATTATTTAATCCTATGATAATATATAGTATGTACAAAGCATGTATTAAATCTAAATGTATATAATAGTATACTTATTATTATACATAATACTTCAATATTTATGTCTTCATAAATGTTTTTTTTATTATTATTATATTAGTTAATAGAATACATAATACATCAATATCTATGGGTTCATAAATACATATACATGTATTCAAAATTATTGTCATTCATTCAAATTACTCACTATAGATTAAATCTTAAGGTGTTGGATAGAAAATGTGTTGAGGTGTTGGTTTGGTTTAAAATTGAAGTATTTTTCATTTGAGCACATTTTTATTTTAATACTTTTCCAAAACGTATCATTTAACGTTTTAATACATTTAGTATTTTTAATTATGTAAATTAAATATAAGCAAATAACTCATATAATTTTTAGGTATACAGCTACAAGTGAAAAATGTTTTATTATAAACATATAATTTCTTTAAAATGTATACAAACGTCCACATCAAAGATTTATTGTTTGTTTGTTTTACATGTTAATTTACGAAAATAAATAAATCAATAATACATAATTATTTTTTTATTATACCCATATACCTATAATATTATAACATATTATGCACATACCTATCTTTTTTTTTGGTGTCTAGGACCGGAAGAGTAACCGCTGTTGGCATTGCATCTCCTCTGTTCCTGTTCTCCATTGTTTTTTGTTACCAAGACAGGAGGTTAGGATACCTAACCTTGATTGTTACATATAATAAACAAATTAAATGAACCGTAGCATCCAATATACATAGGGCAGTGACCTGGCAGACTTTCATTAGTATGTATGTGTGTCCGCCTGCAGGGAGCTAGGCTCAGAGGGCTTGCAATCAAGGTACATTGCTTATGGCGACGGCTTGAGTTACTGGCCCTGGCTTCTCGACCCGGCTTGCACGCCCACCGGTCTTCAATTCCTTTGAGCTTACGTTTCACGGCCCGCGGGCTTCGCGACCGCTGGCCTAGCAACTTGTGTGTGTGTGTGGAGGGGTGACTGAAGGGGCGAATGTAAGTTCCCGCACGAGATATAGCAGGTAAAAATCGCACAAGGGTATGCGTACGTAAGTTCCCACACGAATAAAAATTATACCGAATACAAACTTCCTTCCCACTTTATTCAGACTTAGGACTGACAACTTAAACGAAGTTGGTGTGGTTAAAATTTGTTTGTTTTTGTGTTACATAAAAAAAGTCCAATCAATTATTTAATTGAATCTAGTCCAAATATATAATGAAAATTATAATAGTATAAGGTGTAGGTATGGTCCACATATTATTTGTATATTAGTATAAAATAATAATAGTTATAATAATTATAATAATAGCATTGATTCTAAAATCGATGATAATATAGTAGGAGAAAAAATTAAATTTTATTTGGTTTATTGCGAAAGCTCAAACACTTCACCATAGTCATACTGTGTAATTATTTTTAAGTTATAATCTGATATTTTGTTATTGATATAGTTTTGTTTTTCTTCTGTTTTTTCACTTATTCTTAGAGGTCTATTGAAATCTGATGTTCTTATCTTTATGTATGTATTTGTTTAAAACATTTTTAAAACTTTTTATGGCCGCCTTCAAAGCTTGTGGCACTCCAAGGATCATCACACCCAATCGGGCCTTGTTCCTCAATCTTTCCAGGCCCAAAAGATTAGCTAGTGGCATGAAGGCAGCGAGGACACCGTCTGAGAATTCTAATTATTATCTGAATGAATTCTCCAATGCCCACTACCAGCCGCTGCCCACCGTGGAAAGTCTCAATATCACATCTGTCACTGTTTGTCTCCTCTAGAATATGCTAATTTTGATATTTGGTGAAAATGTTAAGTCCATATCTATGGACATTTTTTTAAACTAAAAATGAATCAAAATAATAAAATTGAATTTTCAATAATTGCTGTAACTGTTGCTTAATTTATTCCCTTTATCCATAGTTTTTTTTTCCGATTAGTACGATAATATTTTCATTTTGACCCCTACCCCTCCTCAAAAGTAATACGTGGATGCTAATGACTTACAGAAAACACACTTGAAAAATAAAAATACACAATTGTAAAACCAATACATATCCATCGCTTCTTTATCAGAATCTAAAATATGCAATCTATTGTTGAACAACAACACTCGTGTAATAAGTTATTATTATCTGAGATATATCATATTATATTATTATAAACAAAATAATAATTAAGTTACATAAGCAAAAATTACATATAATAGAATATTTATATAATATATATATATATATATAATAGTTACTTATATATATGTAACTTCTAATTTGACGTATTCAATTTTTTCCCATGTCATTCAGTAACTGACGAGTTAATTAATTTTATTTTCCCATTAAGTTAATGTTTTTCCTAAACCATAGATTTAAAACATATTCAATTTTGTAAAAAAAAATTTTTTTTTTTTAAATCCAAAATATTAAATATATTGATTAGTAAATAATAATTTGTAATAATAGTTATTATATTGCATATTCACAGAAAATATTATATAACTATACTATAGACGGAAATGTTATAGGGGTAATCACGTCATTAATTAAAGAAAATTATAACAATATACTGATTATCCCATACACGTTTGAATTGTTTGAAATGCTTGTAGACTCATTATAGTCATTACCACCTAATCATTATTAATACCTATTATTACTTATTATATTTTTAATCATTTATAGAATTACAGTAATAACTTGGAAACCAGCTTTAATTCAAAAAATATTGTCCATAAAGACTTAAAACTACGTATATTATTACCTACTAGTTTACTATACACGAAGAAACTAAAAAAATATGAGATATTTAGATTAATTTTAAGCAACTATATATAGGTATACAGTGTGAACCATTTTAGTGGGTACATACATTATTTCTAGAAGCATTGACTTTTTTTAAAGAATGATTTTTTAAAACTGTATAATATTTAAATTTTTTTCGCCCTTCAATTGAATATTGAAACCACTTTCAACTTTTGATTTTCAAACGGGAACAAATGATAAAAATATCATACATTTATAAAACTATTTTATATAATACCTATATAGTATTTATTGAGACGTGTATAATAGTATCTGATACCTGTATGAGTGCACGGACTGTACCTACTACTATGAATTAGGACAATATGTCGATATTAATATTGTATACTGATGGGTTATACGCCTACACTATATAATTATTATATTATACTACATGGTTGGACATAGATTACACAACTTGTAGACTGTATTATTATTACCATGCCAGCTAGAAGTGTAATTTTTAAATTGAGTCAGACTGAGAAACACTAATCCTACATGTAATGTACTAATGTGTTAGAAAATACAAATAAAAATAATGTCTGGGGAAATTTATCATTTTTATGAGTCAATTTTACTAATTATTTCCATAATAATTTTAAAAAAAAAATTATTGTTAATAAAATTTTCACAATTTTTATGTGTTAATTATATTTATTATTATTTTTTAAATATTATAATCTTATTTGCTGTATTTAAGAGTCAGTTACATAAACTAAATAATTTGCATGGTTAAATTGTATTTATCATTTTGAATGAGTCTTGAATTTTGGTGCTAGTGTAACGTTACCGCAGTACAACCGGGAAAAATTGGATTTTCCGCGATGAAAATGAAGTTACGAATTCCGAATTTGTGGTAACGAATAGTTACGAATTGATTACTAACTAGTAATGATATAAGTTACTGTAGAAAATTATGACATAGGGGTGCCAGGGTAACGCATCTAACTTTTCTTTATTATTTTCTTACAATTTTGATTTATTTTACAGTTATATTTATTTTTAATAATAAGAAAAAATCTAAATATCTTTAAAAAAAAATGAATTCCCAGTAAAAATATTTAAGGTGAAAAAATGAATTGTAAATATTTAAAATAAAATGTATAAAGGTTATACCTATACCTAAATAGTATTGTTAATTCATATTTTCCGTTATCCAATTAATTTTTTTAAATGGGTATGTATTCAGTTTGCTAGTATTTAAGTTGACAAAAAGACAGTTTTTTATTTTCGATATATTTTATTAAACCAAAATATTCTTTATAATTAGTTTCAAATTATTACTACAATAATTTATTTACTACATATAATAACTTTGTATAATGTTTGAAAATGATTTTACCTTTTTGTTTATTAAATTTGAATTAACTATGCCTATAGGTACCTGATTTTTAATCATCACTTATATTTAAATAAATTTACAAAGTTAAAAGATTACTTTTGTTTTTGTTCATTTGTTGCCTACATTACAACCTCTTAGATTTTAAGCTGAGTGTGTATTTATTTTACAGTAATGTGCTTTTTTTTGTATCTGATGACGCTTTTTATATCAGAAAAAAGTGCTTCAATCCTCAACTTAAATATATTTTCGAAACTAAAAAATGAACAAAACCTTTCTTAATTATTGGGAAAACAAAAAATAAATAGTGTACAACTGGAGAACGCAAACCCAGTTTTAGACAAAATCGATATTTTTTTTTTAAATTTAATTTCTAATAAATGTATTAAAATAGTAAAAAATAAACAAATTTTAATATCTTTTCTACGTTGTTTGCTGGTTCTGTGTTGAAGTGTTCACACTGCACTGGCAATGAGCATACCGACAAGAACCGGCACTATATGGACCGGCAAAACATTCTTTCGGATGATAATCGGTCGGTCCGGCCCGTGCTTACAGCATTACGTTACGGTACAGTGTCGTTCGTATCAATGTGAATTACCTCATATAAACAAGAAATGCAATATTTTATCGCGCTGTGGCGGTACGTGCCGTGCCGTGCCGTAACACTGTAACAGTATAAATCGGGCACACACTAGTGTGTCGCGACACCCCGGTTGAGAAACACTGGTCTAGTATTTGAATTCAATGATATACATATTATATCAGTGTATATGAAAAACAATTCTGAGCGGAGACGGTATAGTAAGTCTAGGATATTTTATATTGTTATTCATATGATACCCGGTAAGTTGAATTAATATTTTCCGTTTTTTAATGGGGTGAAAATTATTTTATCGACATTAGTTTAAAAAAAAAACAATAATCGAAAATGTCGTATGTCTATAAATAGTTCAACACGAGACAAAATATTTTGAAAATTGTATGTTGTATAGAAAATAACACAAACATTCAGTGAAAATTTCATGCATATACGGTTTTTTAATTAGAGTTACACTTCGAAAACTGGTTTTGCGTTAAAATTCTAGTTTTTCCTTAATAGTTTGTTTGTTTTTCCTTTCGTTTTTGAAAACTATTGGAAATTTTAAAGTTTGACCACCCAGATGCACCAACAAGACTCACTTTCCTACCCGAAAAGTTGCTGTTAAAGAAAATCAAAGCACTTGTACTGCACCAAACCGTGATGAGAAATACACAAAAAAAAAATAAATAAATAAATATAAAAACACATATCACTGTAAAATTAATACATTCATCACCCAACTAGAAATATATTATTTAAAAATAATAAATTATGCGCCTTGTTAATGATAAAAAAAAAAATAGCATAATAATATATTATTAATATTAGTGTAATAAACATAATTAAAAATTCATTATTTAAAAATTATAAAAATGAGTCTTGATAATAATTAAAAAATAAAAATAACATAATAATATTCTATTGATATTATTAGTATGATATTACATTGGTTAAATATGTATTATTTAAAAATTATTTACGTCTAGGTGCTTGTTTTAACCAATCGCTAATGCATCCTTTTATAAGTGGAACTGACTCTTCCGGAAAAAAATATTTTACAGAATCTGCAACCCATAATACAGTAAAATATTAAAAATTAAACAAATCTTAAGCTTGAACCAATAGTAAATATTATAGTAGACTCGTGTAAAACCACAATTCAACAAGGTAAAATTAAGTCAAGATTTAACAAAATAATAGTTTAAATTATTTTATTTAAAAGAAAGAAAGGTAGGTAAGAAATGTATCTGTGTACATCTTGTATCAATTTTAAAGTGTTTTTATAATAATTTATATCGTAATATTATCAAAAAAATAAATAAAATATAAGCAATAATAATTAATTAATTTAATTGGATGATAAAAATAATTATTTGCACACTCTCACATATTATTCACCCTTAAAATTAAAACTTATCAAACTCGCCAATTAATATCTTGTACAGATCCATACGCACAAAAGGTAGTTTTTCACCTCTCCTACCATCCATGTTTAGACTTTCGGCCACTCTATTATCCATCAGTATCCTCATCATTTCATAAGTGGTACGCCTGATACCAAAACATTTCCCATTGCGTATTAATAACTGTGCCTAAATAGTAACTAAATAAGATTATAAAGTTCTTGTAAGAAATAAATAAAGTAGGTAATTAAAACATACTAAAATTTTTTTTGCTCCTCATTGGACTCCAATTTATGCAGATCATCGAGGTTTGAAACTGGAACTTTTAAATTCGATCCAAACAAATGAACCTTTTCCTCTGATTTAGTAGCATTATATTTGGTACGATCAGTTAGCAATATAAGTAATTCTTGGTTTTTGACATTATCAAGTTTAATTTCTTTGATACTTTTTTTTATTTCAGCAATTTCATTAGCCACTAAACAAGAAGAAATACAAGCTGAGAAATTCATAAAAAAAACACAGTATAGATAAATATTATATTTTACCATCTTTAACCGCATGTCCAATAAACATTAACATTTTTCCCATATTCACATTGTCATTGTCAATGAATTCATTATCAGTCGCTAAAAATTAATAATGTTACACAAAATTAGTATTAAAACTACAACATAAACTGTTGTGTTTACCTGAAAGAATCTGTTGGTTTTGATGATGAGTTAATTGATGATATTCAGTGTTTTGTGATAAACTTTCACAGTCTTTTTCTCTTACAGGATTAATACAAATATCTATAATATAATGCAAGTTAAACGCAGTTATATTTCAAGTACATTTCTATTAATGATGGCATTTACTTGGAGTTTTCGTCTGATGGTTAAGATGAATGTCTTTATTCATTTGAGTGAATTGATGATGTTCAATATTTTGAGATAATTGTTCACAGTTATTTTCACTCATAGGGTTTAAATAATGTAAGACATCATCTTTAAGTGCAAAAAAATCAGGTGAATCGTTTGATCCCATCATGTCAAAATCAACTTCAACAATAAAATACAAATTTGATTAATATTAAAAAGCAAACTATAATAATTGCACAAATATAAATTGTATAGGTACTTGTAGGTCTAGGAGCATCAAGAATATTGTCAATTAAATTACTTTCAAATAATTTTTGTTTTGAATTAATTTTAGTTTTTTCATTGTCTTCGTGGTTACTTGAAGATTCAAAATTTTTCTTTTGAAACCGTTTCCTTTTTTTGTTTTCAGTATCAATTTCAGAAGTTGTACTTATGTAACAAAAAAGGGATACTTTTTTTTTTGCTTCAGAATATGTATCTAAAATTAAATCATGTAAATTAATTTAAATATTCTCGTGAAACTTTTATATAAATATCAATATCAAACCGTAAAATTTCCTAAGAACACATTTGTGTTCTTCCCAAGAATCTTCTGGCGGTTTTTGATAAGCAATATATTTTGCGACATTTATACCACCAGGCCATTGACAAACAAAACTCTTTGATTGGAGATCAACGACAATCCAGCAACAAGGTACAACTTCTGTGACTTCAGCTTCATCCACAAATTCAATAATTACAAATTTATTTACTTTTAAACTTTCTGTCATAATTAAAAAATTAGCTGTAATGTATGAATCTAAATCAAGAAAAATTAAATTAAACAATAAATTATATTAAGTTACCTATTTATGAAATGGTATTTACAAGAGTATATAGCACAACGATTAATTTACCTGTCATGTTTAAAACAGTGCCCGTTACTTTATCCCAGTGATTTTCAACTTTTTTATAATGTTGTATGTTTTGAAAAGAAAATGATGGTGGGCAGTACCACTGATATGTGTGTCCAATGACTGGGAAATCATCACTACATATTATCCATTGCTTAAGAACTGCTGATATTTGACCATTGTCCGAGACAACAATGGTATATAATTGATTAGATTTTTGCATACTATACAAATATAATTAATAACTAATTAGAAAAATATTTTTAAAAAATGAATTATATTATATAAAATATTAATTTTGAAAATATCAAGAAATTACTATATTAAGCTTTCAAACCCAGATTTGATAAACTCACTCATTCAGCTGTGTGGAGTAATGCATAAACATAAAAAGTTGTTTTTGGTACTTCTGTAAGAGGAAAATAGCAAGCTTGATATTGGATGTCTTCAATATTTAAAAATTGAACTGCGTGTGATAATTTACTACATTGATACATGGCAATAGATGTAGAAGGGCAAGAAGAGTTATATAAAGGAATTGTGTTTTTTATTTTAAAGTTAAGCGTACCAGGTATATTTTACCATTTCTATTTAATACATTTTTAACATGGCGTACAATATTTAAAGACGCGATAACACAGTCATCTTTTTTACTACTTCTAAGTTTGGAGTTTTGAACTTGGTTGTAAAGTTTTCTAAGATAACTGTTGAGTACTGTGATACAGATTCAGATAACATATTTCCAGGTAGAGGATAATAATGACCATCAACAGATGGATGATACATTGGCGGTTCTAAATTGGAAATATGACATTCACGTTCGTCTTTTATTCAGTTATATAATTGAACCAAATTGTAATGGCAAATTAATATTTTTTATGTGTTGTAAATAGTTTTCATAAGGGAAAGCCGCAACCATAAACCGAACAAAAAGTTTTTAAAAAATGTTTTGCTAAGGTTTCAGCATAGTTATTTTGTGTATACACTGTTTAATCACATGTTAATATTCACATAAAAATACTGAAAATCATAAAATTGTTATTGTAAGCCGGTAAACAAATAATATTTTTAAATAGATAGGGACCTTTATAAGACATAATTTGTCGTAACTCTGTGCTTTTTAAACGTGTTGAACTTGTTTAAATCATGTGGAACCCTAGTAAAATCAGGACTTATCCATTTTGAAATTACTATCATACTTTGATTTATAAGAACTATTTGGTTTTTATACAATCGAACGGTACCATAAGAATTTGGAACATCAGTACCTCTGACTATACAACGAATAATTTTTTTCATGATCCCCAGAAGGCAGTCATAGCCTCACAGGTGCATATAATCTAGTGGGATACATGATACCAGCCCAAGGCCAGTAATTTTTAATAAAGATGACAGCCCACGAAGTTCTTCATTTGATTGTAGTACAAACGACTTATCAGTACGCAATTGAGCTTTACCTTTTGGAAAGCATAAACTACCAGATAAATATTTCCCTTCTTCAATACAATTACTTCTCACATCCAAAATAACCAAAAAATGATTTAATTTATTTAAAAAATGCACGAGCTGGTGCATCTGCTATTAAACCTTTTATTTGTACATGTATCAACGTACTACTGTTTAATTGTACACCACAATTCTTATATTTAACAGTTCACATATAAAGAGAGAAAGATATTCATCAACGTTTTGGAGCTTTTCGCATTATTTATATTTGACCCCTTCCTATATTGAAATTCATAATTACAACCAGATAATATCAAAGCCCATCTCTGAAGTCTTGATGAAGCATGTACTGCAATATTTTTATTTTTATTAAATAATGTTTTTGACAGCAAATGATCTGATACTAAAATAAACATTCAACCAAACAAATATTTAAGACATTTTTTCATTTGAAAATATAATAGCTAATGCCTCACGATCGATCTGTAAATATTTTTTTCAGCTGCCGATAATGTACTCAATGAAAACATGATAAGTTTTTCCTCTTCATTTATTATATGACAGTTGTACAGCACCTACGCCATAATTAAAGCTATCGCACATTAAAATTAATAGCAATTCTGGAATATAAGTATCTATAATAACTAACTTTTAATGGCCAAGGAAGAACCCCGAATGTGCGCATCCTACGGTGTCCAAGTCACCATCAGCCACATTTTCACAGAATGCCGAACATACCACAATATCCAAACAAGCCAAAACCTGCCCGAATCACTAACCGAATTACTAAACAATCACCCTCAAGCCAGTTCATCATAGCAGCCAACCTTCAAAACAAGATATAAAAATATATAATTAGAATAAGTATAGACAATTAATTAATCAAATCTTCTGTAAACACAAAGGCCCATCGCCCATGAAGCCGAGGGTCTTTTTTTCTTACAATAAAAAAAAAATAACTGAATTTCTTTTAATACTATTTTTGTTTTATTAAATGTCAACTTATATTTTTTTGACCAAATCTACTTGACATTTTTTTTCGTCAAATTATATAATGAAGCTAAAATAGTAGATGACATAGGAATATAAATCTTGGTAATAATTAATTAATCCCAAGAATGATTTTTATTGGCTCATGTCCTATGGTTGAGGAGCATAATAGCTTCCATTTTATCAACCGTTGGGTGAACCCTGTGCTTATCTATCATATGTCTCAAGAATACAATATTTGAACGAAAAAATTGACATTTATCAAAATTTATTTTTACTCTTAATTTATTTATACTCTTGCAAGTGATTTAATACCAACCACACAATCATCATCAGATTTCCCACCTAATACCATCTAAATACACTTGAATATTCTCTAGACCAATTAAAATATTTGCCATTGCCGCTTGAAACTGGGAGCTGACGTGATTCTATAACAAGGTCTATTAAATTGATATACACCTTAATAGAGTATTTATAGCCAATAAATGACGACTCGCAGATGCTACCTTAAGTTGTAAATACGCTTCCAACAAATCGATTATCGCGAAAAATGTCCCTACTGTTAAATTATTAAATACATCGTCTACTCTCGATAACTGATGTTGATCTACTTTTACATAAGGATTTAGTGTATTTTTAAAATTGATCAAATTCGTAGGTATTTTATTATTTTTTTTGGTACTTTAACTATCGGAGACGCCCATTTACTTGTTACGACATTGTTACGGCGTATCCACAATCATAATAAAAATAAAAATATAGAGTTCTAGCAGGGTCCGCAATCCACCTCAGGTGGATTGCCTACCTGATAATTTACTGCTTGCATTATCGCAACAAGTTTTATATTAAATTTTTTATTTTTAACGAGCAACAAAGTAGTTATTTTTATAGTGTACACTATTGACACTTCTACAGATTAAATTTTTTTTTATTCCTACACATTACCGATATATGTCCTTTTAGTTTGCTATTCAAACAATCCCATTGCTTTGCTGGACAGGTACGAGCATCATGAGTTCTTCCATACCGCGAGTAACATTGACTCGTCTTCTTATTTGATCTCTGCGGTGGCTAACTGTACATTTAACTGCTTCGTTTTGACTCATCACCGCTTTGTTTTGTTGACTGGCTATACTGCTTGATACTGCACTGGTTTTTTTCCTACATTTTCTTTGACAAGCTTCATCTGCTAGACCTGCAATTAGTCTGTCGCGAAGTGCATCGTCCAAAAATGTGTCAAATTCACAGTGACTTGCTAACTTTTTAAAGTAGTGATAAATTCTTGTACCGATTCCCCAGACTTTGACAGCACTGCCCTGGTTGAATTTAAAACCGTCACTCACCACTAAACGCCGTCGAGAATATATCGCGTCCAAATATTTGACTATAATATAAGTCCTCAAAAGTTTTTTTATGCCGGATGACTCGGTAAACATGCGTCCATCAATTGATTGTATAAGCTTCTGGCCCTATATTCGCAATGAGGTACTTTTGACGTTGATCGTCTTTTATACTTTCAACACTGACAACTGTGCTTTGACACAATCAAGATAATTTTTTAATGATTACTGATCTAGCATAGAAGACCAAATTGTGTTCGACATAATAAACTCCGTTTGTACGTTTATAACTATATAAGATTAAAATAAATAAATACAATCACTTTTGTCACTTTTGTCGATGAGCATGTCGATGAGCTACGGTCGAATTAAGACTGTTTATTATGTTCAAGACGGCTATCGCGCTGTGCGTAGATACCGATTACCTAATATTATAATGATATTATATTACAATAATAATTAATTGCGTAACATACACGAAATTAATTAACACGTTTCAAACGAGTCTTTAAAATAGACGATTCAAGAACACAGACTGATTATTATTAGATGTATAGAAACAACTTCATTCGTAGTAGAGACAAAGGTTGAAGTAAACATTATGAGTCAATAATACCAATAGTAATAGAAGAAAATAAAGTATTGGAAATATAAGTTTTCTTAACAATTTTTGATTTATTAGCCCTGGGTTTCTGAGAACTTTTAGGTAAACTACAATTGGATTTTTAAGGGAACATAGGTATATTTTGAAAAAAAAATGAAACAGCTCAGCGTACTTGCCTACTTAACTATATATTTAATTACAACTATACCTATATATATTGTATAAATGTATATAAGGTATGTAGTATACTAGCTATATAGTATACTGTATGTTTCTATTACTGCATCATAAATTAATTAATTAAGTATAATGCATAAGTCTACTAGATTTTCCTATCTATTAGTAAGTAATAGCTAAAGCAAGGGCTTTGAAGCACTAAAAAATCATCAAATATGTATTAAAAAATCTGGACCTATGTATCAAACAAATTAAAAATAATATGTAGTATTTATTGTACAGTATAGTGTAACATAACTAATCATATAGGTACTAAAATTTTAGTAAATTGGGTGGATTACCAATATCAATATCAATATACCCACTGACCAATAAGATAAAAATCAGTCTCCATCGTCTTAATGAAAAATTTGCAGCTTAATTAAAAAATTGTTGAACTAGATTCACGAAACATATTCACCGAAGTGCTTGATTTTCCATAAACTTTTAAATTATGCTATTATAATCAAAAATACCATATTACTAAAGGTAATATAAAGTTAATGCATAGAAATCCTTGCTTTAGTAATAACGGTTGAAATAAAAATACTTACGTAAGTTAAAGGTAATGAAGTAAGAGCAGATATATTTTTCTGATAGGTAATGCACACACACTACGTATAAGTGTAAACCAAAAATGCTCTTGATATAAAAGTAGATTATCCGGACAGTGTTCTCTGAGTGGGCGTATAATTTTTATACTTTGTACTTAATTAATTGATTAGCCAATTGGCAATTAGTAATTAGTCCTAGAGGCTTCTTAGTAATTTAACCATTGAACTTACGTCTTATTATCTCATCAGATCCCTTCTCTTCACTACGGTCTACAGTATGCCATTTTGACGACTTGCATTATACCAAATCCTAATTATCCATTACCACGCCATCACGGTTTTATAAGATAATAGCAATGGATTAAACTAAATAGTAGTTTAATAATATTGTTTATTATTTTGTAATAATTAATGATAATAGTAAAGAAGATAATCTACATTTATAATTTAAGCATCTGTGGCCTATGATAAACTGATATAATGATACTATAGTTTCGCAGTAATTATAATTTAAATGATTGGCGTAGTTATAATATTAATTTCCATTTTTACAAAGGTACATGCGACATGAATAATTATTATACATTATTTATCATATTTAACTACACTTAAAAATTCCAAAAATCATAGTTTGAATGTATGCAAAATTTAAGCATAAAAATGAGGTGAGCATGCTTAAAAAATCACCCTGTATAATATCATGCAATTTACATTATTTTATATTTTGATGTATAGTTGAATTAATAATTTTAACTAATTACCGAAAGTCTATGCCGTTATGATCAGTTTTAATTTACTTAATAACATTTTGCAGTGCAATAGCTGTTAAATACAGGCTACTATTATAGTAGTCCGTGCTGTTGAATCATTTGGTTATAATATTTATCAAGAATATCCCAATGATGGTATTAAACAAGATTAAATTACATTAGGTAATATGTCGTAATATGTTTTTTTTGTTGGAATTTTTAAATTGATGTTATAAAGCATGATGGAAATTTGATAAGTTCGACTTGGAAAGTACTTAAGTACATTTCATTTGTACATTAGGTATAGAAAATACACAATGATTAAAACATGTGTTATATATTTACAGCTTCTATTTATTTTTTTTAAATTGTATTTTCAATTAAATAAGTTCTGTACATTTAATTAAATCATCTAATCTAACCTTTTGATAGCACAAAAGTTTTTTTACTCTTAAAATGATTAGCTAACACCATACCACAAACATAATTCCACATCATATATTTTTCTTTATTACTAGGGGTGAAATTTGTATGTCAATACATATTTTTACTAAAACATAATAAATTAATTATTGTAAATGATAAATTCATTTCATGTGATTTGTAATAAAATAAGTCATATTTTATTTTACGTTTTACATATTTCGCCATAAATACTTTTTTTTTACATTATGTGTAAAATTACTTTTTTTTCCATTTTTCTTAAATGTTTTCAAAAATTCCAATATGTATAGAATAATTTGTCAAATTACATTATCAAAATTTGTGATTTAGTAGTATTATACATTTACTTCAATAATAGTACTCGTCAAAATTGTAAGTGTAGGTATATAATTGAATTGGGAATTTCGAAAAGGGCCCATCTCGAAATGATGCAATTCAATTGAAATATGAAAAATTAAATTAGCAAACAACATTAAATCAATCATTATTACTGAAACATGTGATAAATGTGTATTCCTTTATTAAGTTCAAAAATAATCTATACAGCATCATGAATTGTTAACCTACTTATACATATTGTAGAATAATTATATTGTTATATAACAACAATTTAAATGCATATCATAATATCATATGCATTACTCCATTAGTGGCCTGCAGGTCATAACATCAAACACAATAATATACTCGGTGATTATTTTAATCCAGCGCCACGGTCGTGGCACGAGGTAAGTAAAAAAAAATATGACGGCGGCACGTCAGTGTATAATATTATCTCAAAGTAGGAGTTGCACATTTAAACAGTATAAATGTTGGTATTTTTTTAACCGGACCTAACTAGTAACTAATTATCTACTGAATCGATTAATACCTAATAAATTGGAAAAAACCAGACAAATTGTGCAGATGATCCTCTTGAAAAAATCATTGAAATCGTACGGTTAGAAATCAAATTATCAAGGAAACGTCCAAACTTTTTAATGAGAAATTATAATGAAATCTGGAATCACGGAGGCCGCATCCCGCGTTGTCGTGCAACAGTGCAAAATTATTGCTATCTCACATTCGAGTATTTATTGTTTGTTTCATTTCGTTATCGGCTATCACTAATTAAATTAAATTATATTTTATACATTTTAATATATAAATTAGTCTAGACAGTGTGTTATTATTTATTACCGTGTTCAAAATTATAAATATGCCAAAATAAAGTTTACAAACAAAGAATAATAAATAAAAATAAATAATTACTGAATAAAAAAAATAAACATAGTCATACAATAAATTACCCGAAAAACTGTTAGTAAATAAATGCTAAGTTAATTGAATTACACTACACTTATTTTGTTTCAATAATTTATTTACTTAGCGAGAAACTATTTTGAGTAGAAATGTCTATTAAAATATTTTAAATTATAATGAACTTCGAATGCCTTTTGTTTATTTTGTTCACGTTATTTCATGTGCCGAGTCATATAAAGTATACAATTTCTCGCCACGTCCACTGAGACAAAAAAAGGTCACGAATATCGATAAAGTACAGCTTATTAGAAAGAATATGGTGACTTATTTTGACAAAGGCTTTTGCAAAATCTGTAAAAATTACATCTACTTGTAAACTGGATCCAAATACATCTAGTAGGTATATATTTTTGAAAAATTAAAAGATTTGTCGTTGATGATTTACCTCTCAAAAGACCATGTTGATCATCATTTAGTGGGCGTCACCGTCTTCGGCCAAAATGTACCCTTCCCTTTTTGGCCAGTAATTTTTTATTAACATTTATTACCAACAACTGAATGAAAAAATAATAAAATAAAACAATTGGCAATTTTACTATTTTTATAGTCTTCAGTCTTCAATGTAAATTTTTCTAAATGCTTCCCAGTTTATAGGAGCATTAATTAGTTTTGGGATTTGGTTTTTGGCTTCGATTTGTTCATTAAGGGTGGAGATAACCGGTACATGTTCGGAGTCGAGTTCGTTCAGGACTACGTGATGCAGGTCAATTGGAAGATTCGATATAAGAGCAATATCAAGTAAATCGGGTAGTTTGAAAGACCGTTGGAAAGTAGGTTCGGCAGGTGGAGATATTATGATCCGTTGTTCAAATGTGATTTTGAGTAGCTTGTTACCATTTGGATTAGTTTTCTAACAGCCCCGAGTTTGATGTTTCGAGTTAAGATCACCTAAGAGTAAAGTTGGCATGCCTTGGAATAGAAGGAATATGTTTTCTTGTAAGATTTTTTTATTTGGTGGATTATATGCCGAGATTATTTTTATATCGTGTCTTTCTGTTGATACTATTATTGCGGTGACCTCAATGTTTGTAATATTGGGCAAGGTTGATTGGTAGTGTTTGATGTTTTTCTTTATCAAAATTGCTACTCCGCCTGATGAGTGAGTAGAGTTTCTGTCAGTTCTTTATATATATTAAAGCCGTTAGGTTAGGTAATAATAAAATATATGGCCCTTTTGGCTCGAAAATTTAAATTTGGAATAGGTAAATGTAATAATAATAAAAATAAACTCACAATTTATGGAGCGCAGACTGGCCAGCTGGTCCTGTATCTATACTATAATAAATAACTGTGCACAATACAGATTATAGGGTACAAAAATATAATAATATTGAATATAAAAATAGTGGCGTTTAGCACCCAAGTCAATAATAAAATAAGTGGCAATTAATACAATAATAATAAGCGGTGATTTGCATCATGTCAAAACGAATAAGCTCGGCAAAAGCCAAAAGGTATATAATATATGAAAGGCACCGCAAAAAGTATACAAATCTACTGTGTCAGTGTCACGACTCACGACGAACTAAGTCTAGGATACCATATTGAAGTCTCAGAAGTCTGTCGATTTCTCGATTCGTAATCAATTATCATATTAAGAGGACGCCACACCCGCATGTGTTGTCTCCGTCTTACAAAGGAACAACATAGCAAAAACTGTTTTGCGCGGGACAACTTTTATCTTTCTGTGTTTGTAGTAGTGGCTCCGAAATTTCTGAACATATCGAGTAGAAAATTATCTATACAACAGCGTGCTTATATTTTAGATAACATAAATACAATAAAAATTATTTGCTTCTAAACATTTTGTTTTTTGTTTTTTTCATTTGCTTATAAAAAATGATTGGAAAATGTAATTTTAAAAAAAGCACGCTGTTGCACAGATAAAGTTCTTATTTACGTGTTGTGAAAATTTGGTAATTCTACAACAAATATGGTGCGAGAAAAGTTGTCCCGCGCTAAACAGTTTTTGCTATGTTGTACATTTGTAAGACGGAGACAGCACATGCGGGTGTGGCGTCCTATTATATACTATGCAGTATTGCAGTCTATTAAACTGCCGGGCTGAAAATTGATATAGCCGTCGTTTTCGATATTATTTTGACATTAGTTATTCTGTCGTCAGTCGTCAGTCGTCACTCGTTCTCGTTGAACCAAATAATTAATATTGTTATCATGTCAAAAAAAGTACCTAGTGGCCTTGAAAAGCGTAAAAATAAATGGAAGAACAAGAAAACTGAAAAAGTATCAAAACTGCCTATAATAAGTGGTTATTTATATTATTTTAAAAAAATGAGATACATATTATAATGTGTAATAAAAAATGATCATATTATTCATAATAGTATACTTAATAAGTATAGGGGCGTGCCTAGGAGTTAAGTGGGGGGGAGGGGGTTTGGTTTAACTTATACATGTTGTAAACTAATTTCTTAATGTTCACCCCATTTAATCAAAATTTCAAGTTAATTTTGTAGAATATTAAACCTTTGATGGGTTATTATCAGATAATTTAGATTTGAACTCAGCTGAATTGAATTAACTGTCTATTGTGCACCCTTTATAAATCTAGTTAGAATTTTATTTTTGTTGTTTAATTTTCAAACATTATATTATTATTATTATTATTATTAGCGTTTATTTCAAAGAATAGTGTTCGACTGAGCATGCTCGTGTGGAGATCCCATGAGAAATTCCCTATATATATATTTACATTACTTTTTAAAATTTTTTTTTTTATTGTAAGAATGACAGGCTATTGCTCAAGGGTGAACATATTACAGTCAATCCCAATAATTAAATTTAAAAAAATAAACAACAAATGCAAAATACAAATAGTAAACATCAAAGAAATACATAGGGGAAGACAATAAATGTACAATATTTTATTCACCTCCGTTTTATAGCACTTTATTGGTGCCTGAATTAACATGTTAAGGTGTATATGCCTTGCGATGATATTGTTCTTAGGACTTAGTTTTAGTGCTTACATTGTATAATTCTACAATTGTTATGTTATTCAAACATGTAAGAATATAACGTGCATTACACATTCTTATTGTTGTAATGTTGTAATTGTATCAATTATTATCATATTATATAATAATTGTTATTTAATAATATAATGTAACAAATCGACTATATACGTCTGTTTGTTGGTATTGTAGCCTGTAGAATTAAATGAAGAAGAGTTGTTCTTTCTGAATAAATTAAACACTTTTATTTGATTATAACACTTGTGATAAAACGATAAATTTGTAGAACTACAAAATCTTAAAAATTATTGTATACATAGTAGTTAATAATTTGTCTTTACAGTGACAGTTACATAATAGAATAATTATATATAAAATTTACTAACTTATTTGACTAGAACATTCATTATTTAGTTGACTAGATCAGTTAAGTCAAAGGGTTGATGATTACAATATTATTCATTTAGATACATTTAAAATATTTGATTAGTTATTATAAAATTTGTGTTAGTTTACAACAAATTGTTCTCATTAAATACAATAAAAATTATCTTATTTATATTGGTTAGTTAGCATAATAATTTATAAGTATACATACATTTTTTTTTATATAATATTAATAAACAATCCAATAATACATTTTAAACTTTACAATATAAGTTGTGTATCAGTTATGTCCAGTATATTTTAATAGCACATGGTATTTATAATTTATTCTTAATTTTTTTTTTTTAAATCGCTTGCATATCCACACCACTCGACAACTTCACAGTGTATGTACTTAAGCAAGACGATGTCAAATGACTTATTGATAATAATATAACAAATCTGAGGCATTGGGTATTTTATTTATATACCTAGCTAAATCCATACAAATTGGGTTTGTTAAATCTCGATCAATTACCATGTCAATTAAAAATCTTTTTATATTTGTCATTATTTCTCGAATCTCTGTATTCTCATATGGCATTAATATAGAATTATTTGCAGTTATTATGTGTACATCGAAACATTCCGTAAAATTAAACCATTCCCCTTGTTCTGGATTTATGTGTAATTGTATTGCTAAGTTTATATTAATTTCTTGTAACAATTGATTTGCTCTATCCATTTTTATTGTATCCTATAAGATAAATGTTATTATACTGATTATTATTTATGTTATTATATATATTTTTTTTTATTAGGTATATTTTTTAAAATGTTGAGCCAAATTTTCGTATTTATATTTCCTGATCACATAGTCAAATATACACTTCGTATAAATAACGTCTATGCGAGGATCATGAGCATGTGTTAACTCTTATGCTTTTTATCATAAAGTTATTAAGGCCGAAATAAGTCCTTAGATATTATTAGAAGATATTTGAATAAATTAAATTGAGTTTATAAGGCCGTAATAAGTCCTAATTAAAAAATATATATATATATATATATTAAGAATAATTAATTAAAAGTAAAATAGATAATTGAATTAAATTAATTTTGTTGAGTAACAAGTTATTTAAATATAATAAGGAATACAATTATAATAATTGTTGAATTAATTAAAATATTGAAAGTAATATTGTATTTGTTGTAATAAATATTTTAGTAGTACGTATTGAATAAATTTATGGGTTTATTGGTGAATAATAAATAAGTTATAGAATAATAATGTTATGTATTAAAATAATAATCGTGTAAAATATTACGATTTAAATTAAATTTAATGAATAAATTAATTTAATGAGTCAAGGAAATAAAAATAAGATAAGTGAAAATAAAAAATTGGTAACAGGAGAAGTTAAAGAGGTTGAGGAAACCAAAAGTAAAGAATTAATTAACGAAGTAGTAATAAGCGATAATTGTAGTGAAATAAAAACTATTGACGATAAAAGTAACGATAAAACAGTAATAGGAAGTAACGAATTATTAATTGATTTAAGTACAGACGAGAGATATCAATATTCGGTAGATTTAAATAGGAAAAATATTTAGAATCTATACGAGAGAAAGATTTACATAATAAAAGTATCCGACCAATTATAGTTAACGAAACTGAACTACGACAAATAGGCACTCGTTCAAAGAAGGGAATAGAACATACTCAATTGGAACCCCTTACAAGAAAACCTAAAGTCAAAATGACTGGAACTAAACTCCCATTAGAAAAAGCTACTGTTATGATTCCAACGTGTACAGGAAAACGAGACGTGTATCAATTTATAAAAGTATGTGATTTAGCGTGTTCAGCGGTAGAAAAAGAAGATTTACCTATACTAATGAAATTTATAAATACGAAATTATTTGACCAGGCTCTCAACGTATGTAGATATAGGGACATGTCAGATTGGGAAGGAGTAAAATTAATTTTATTAGATGCTTTTGAACCACAAAGTTCAACATCAACATTACAAGTAGCGTTAAATTCTGTACGTATGCGACCAAACGAAGACGTCGATTCGTATGTTAGACGAGTAGAACAATATTATATTTTAACTTATGCGTAGCGAGTACTAAAGGAAAAACAACGGATCAGGCCACAGTATTAAGAGATCAGTTAAAAGAACAAACGTTGGTAGTATTTATAAAAGGTTTAACACCCAGTTTAAAAACGATAGTAAAATCACGTAATCCACCCACCTTAGAAATGGCGATGCAAATAGCCAAGGATGAGGAAACAGAATTAAAATCTGAATCGGATGCATACCAATACTATGGAAATCAAAATAGAAATAATAATAATTATAACCGACGTAATAATAATTTTGAGAATAATAATCGCTATAATAATAATCATAGACAAAATAATAATAATTTCAATAATAATAATAATTATCAGCGACAAAGTTTTAATCCGAGAGGAAATAATAATAATTTTATTAGACCGCAATATAATAGACCGGATGTGAATCGAAATAACAGAAACAATATACATAATAATCAATATCCACCGCGAAATACTAATAATTATAACTATTTAAATAATATCCAATGCTATCAGTGTGGAGGAAATCATTACGCATGCGACTGTAATCTACGACGAAATAATAATGCGCGACCACCCAACAATAATTTTACGCGACCGTCTAACACACAAAATAACTATACGCGACAACCAACTAATTATAATACTCCAGGAACTGTCACTTGTACATATTGTAAACTGAATGGACATGACATCTCCACATGTTACAAAAAGCAAAATAATGATCGTAATGCTTCGGGAAACTTGCCAAGATCGGGCGAGACAAGTGGTGCTCGACCGATAAATTTAATAGCCACTGTAGAGGAGGAACAAAACGATGTTTATACAACGTATCAATCTTAAATAACAATCATCTTACTTGTCAATCTGCCAACTTAAAGGGGAAGTTCGCTGAATTATTAGTAGACACTGGAAGTGAAGTTAATTTAATAAAATTCGGTGCTTTAACAGGAGAAACACTTGTACAAGAAAATAAAAAAATATATTTAAAGGGAATTAATGATAATATAGTATCAACAGTAGGATTAGTAAAAATAATTTTAAATTTTTATAATAATGATATTGAAACAGAATTTCAAATGGTACAAAACTCGTTTCCTACACCAAAGGATGGTATTTTAG